AAGAGATGTTTTTCGAAGCCGTTTTAAAAATTCATTGTTTCGCAGTTGCTAATGCTTGTTCTCTCAGACTATTGCATATTTTATAGACAAGTAAGTTTGTGCATGAGGATGTACATATCTTCATGCGTTATCATAAGAATAGTTCCAGAAAAATCGAATAGTTCCGCCATCCATGCAAATTAATACTATTCAATGTGTGTGACAAACTGATCTTTCAAAAGAAATGAATATATTCTTTTGTCATACAGTTTAATTCATTACTGTCAAAATAATTGCAATTTTATGTAATCGCTTTACTTTGTTAAAGTTTTTAAATTAATTTTTTAAATTTTCACTCAGAAAATGACTATTCGGATCACTTTAACATTTCGGATCACCTTTTTGGAAAGCAAAAAAGTGATCCGAACTGTTAAAGAAACTTTGTAAGCTTATCAAGTCCATTTCTTGCAATAATGCATTATACAAATCGGTTCCTATCTGCATCGTTATTTTACTTATTAATTATATATGTTATTCTTATGAAAAATTTAAACTATAGGACAGCAATGGCTGAATAATGTATTCAGAAACAGTGATCCAATGAATTTACTTTGGGTGATGAAGGTAACACGCATTTTCATCAAGTTTCGTGAAATATTTTTGTTCATAGGCTTTTGTTAGTATTGCTACCATTGTTTACCATCTCATATGAATCTCACGTAAATTACGAGTATAAAGAGTGTGTGCAAGTTGACGCACGTTTGGAGTGTAAGTATTCATGCTTATACTCAGATTATTTGGATTTATATATGTGCAAAGTTTGGATATGATAACGTGTGCTTATACGGATGAAAACAAGAAAGTATTTGTTTGTTTGTTGTGGTGTGTGCACGTTTTTGCGAGCTTTTCACGTAAATAGTTGGCTTATGTATTAGTGTCGTATATACATGACGGCTATGCCTGTAATGTGTCATTGAAAGATTTGCGAGTGCATATATGTGGATGCATGTTTTTCGTTATGCATGTACTTACGTGTAGATATGTATATATGTAAATGTGAAAAATTAGAATGTAGTATATGTGAAAAACTGATAATGCTAGTATAGTAGTAATTGCATATGGACTAGTGATAGTAATCGACAGTAGTTGTTACCAGAAGATGCTTACAGTAGCAATAAGTAGTAATAGCTTTGTAAGTGGTTGTACAAGTAATAATTGTTGGTGCTGAATAGCGTAGGCTTGTATGTATATCATGATGATTGGTATCAGTCAAGATTTTAAAAGATGTTTGCAAAAAGAAGAACAGTGCGAACATACGAATTCAAAAAAGTGATGGAATGTTGTTATTCTAGCAGTACCGAAACAATCTGAAGTCTGTGGCAAAATGGAATCGCACATGCAATCAATCTGATGGCTGCGCATGTCAACTCTTAAACAATAATGACACTTTTTAACTATGGTGTAATATCAAGTGTAAATTCACCAGAAAACAGTGTAATTACTACGTTGGGCTTGCAAAATAGACCGCTTTTGAGGTATCATATAGATAGATACTAAGATCTGATTTTAAAAACTAGATGTTAGTAGTATCTGTATGGTATCTCTGACTGCTGAAAAGGAAATTATAGTTTAAAAAAACATTTGAATGCCGAAAAATTGTAGCATTTTGAGGTAGATAACCGAAATTGATGACAAACTCAAAATTAGAAGTGACCAAATTTGAATTATGTAATTTAAAAGCAAGGAAATTTATCTAACTCCAACCAATTCCAATTTATTTCTAATATTATCAGTTCATACAAATTTTATCTTACAGATTCATCATGCAAGGGCAAAATATTGTTATATATGAAAAACTGAGAAATACATGATATACAATAAAAGCAGCAACAATCTATTGGACGAATACTAATCGATCAAAAGCTCAGCCTAGAATCATAAATGAGAACAAATAGAAAGCAGGGGAGGTTGTTGAAAAAACTTCGTGAAGGATATGCGAAAGCAATCGACTAATGCACTCAGAATTGCGTGTCTGGCGACTACACCGAGACAGCCGTAACACGATCCAACTCAAGAAGATAAAAAAGATCCTGCTGTTAACATGTCCTCTGAGTGCCTTATCCTCGTGAAATCCTTAATGACTGACCTATACATTTATATATTCGCCTCCTCAGGCTCCATTGAACACGAATCATCCCTCCACAATTTGTACAGACAGGTTTGCTGATGGAATTTTGGCTATAAGGGACCGTTTAGTTACCAGTAATAAACAATTTTTAAAATGAGTATTGTACAACAGAAATAGTAATTAATGGAAAGCATTGTATTTTCTAAGCACTCAGTGCTAAAGAAAGATAGCAAATATGAATTTTATATTATTTGTTAACTTTACTCCCAGAATATTTATCGGATTCTGTAGTCCTTTTTGACGAAAGTAGCATTGATGTGAATGAGAGATTCAATACCATAAATGTTACCCAAAGGACTATTTAGAATTCTTTGCAATTCGTTTGCTGCATATTCCACTTCACATCTTCTTGCATTACAAGTAAGTGTATAACAGCCCACAAAAATACTTGAAGGCTTTTTCCTGTGCATTATTCAAGGATTCTAAAAAAATTCAAAACATGCAATTGATTGCTAGCATCGAGAAGATTGCATTTCTTCCACAAAAATATCCATATTCCATGACGACTGGTTAATTTGAGGCCATCTAAAGATTATTTTATGATACCTGCAACTACTAGATTGAAAAATTGAAAATTATAATTTCATTTTTATACCATTTTCGTACTCATCTAATAGCAATATCTTGAAAGAGATAATCCCAAAATTTGAATTGAAAAAAATAAAACTAGTCTTAATTCCCATTCTTAATTTTGCTTACAAGATGATAATTAGACCATAGAAATGTACTAGGATGGAAATTTTTTAAATAATCATAATGATCTTGCGAAGAACAGTTAATAACTGAGCCAAAGTAGGCAACAAACGACTGTCATTCATTACCAATATTTTTCAGTTCATATCTATCTATGATTTTTTTATTTTTTTGTCTCCTAACCAATATTTATTCCGAGTCTAATTTTTAAATGAGCAAACATAGAGAACAAATAAATGACCATTTTTTGTAATAATAAGCAATACCATTAAAAAGTAAGCAAATATCTTCAAAAGTTTAGTTAAAAGATCATTATTACCACTTATTGTTACAAGATTATTTGTTGTTTATTGCATAATTTTTATTTTTTTCATTTACTTAGCTGATTTAATTTAATTTTAATTTCTGGCTAATATTATTATGCGGTTAAAGAATAATTAGTTACCGTTATACTGTTGAAAATGTATAAGTTAGGCTGGCATCAAGGGATGATCGCGGGATCGAATTCAGTATCTGTCAAAATATATATATAATAGTTTAATAAAAAATATAAAATAGAAATTATGCAGTTTAATTCTATACATTATCCGTCAAAAATAATATAAAATAATCATTTTTTGAGTAAAAATTTGAAAAATTAATTTAAAAATTTTAACAAAACAAAGTGACTGCATAAAATTGTAAATGATTTTGACAGTAAAGAATTAAACTGTATAACTTCATGTAAAAAAGCTATAGTCAATTGAGTGAAATCTTGATAAAAGTTGTCCGTAGTGAATTTTAATATTTTTATACTTTTTAGCAATTTCATTTCCAATATTACAACTTTTGAATTTGCTACAAAAGTGGAAACATTTTTATGTATTCATTTTTAGCAAAGTAAATTTCACTAACTTGATAAATGTAAAGAAATATATTATTAATTATGCCTGTTAAGGGATGTGATTAATGCTTTTTAATTTTATGTGTTTGTTCCATAAGCACTTTAGTAGTAGAAGCACCAGCTTTACTACGTAAATCACGTATTTTGCTTCTACTTTCAACATCAATAAAAATAACAATTGGTGCATATTGCGCAAGTTGCAAACGTTCCACAGAGCCTGGACTAACATCCAATACACAGTGCTAAAAAATAATGATAACATAATTTGTGAGAATTTTTTATTAATCTTTCGAACTTTCTAAAAGCTCAATCTTGAAATTTTTTTATAATTTCAATAAAATTTTTAATAAATGCTTCTGAATAATTTTTTTCACAAGTAAATATACTTTATTTGCATTGATAACAGCATCAATAGCATGATGCTTTCATCAGCAACACTGGAAAATCGAAGGGCCAAATTACTTAAATAAACATTGGCGAGCAATATCTGCCAATGAACCAAAAAGGATAAGTAGCCTAAAAATATTATCTTGGTTGTGAGATTATTTAATGATTTCAGTTGCTAATTGAATGATAATGTTATTGTCAAAATTTGACTGATTAGCTGAATTTAAAGCGATAGCTTTTTGTTTATTAATTATTGCAATTAGCACTGTAAGATATGATCAAGATTTGTTGTGAGAAATTCTTAAGATCCGAGCAAAAAACGTTTGCACAAAAAAATAATAATAAATTATGCACAGCATTTAAATAAATGTGTAAAAAATTTTTCACATACGCAGAATAATTTTGACTATTGTATTGCTTGCATAACTGACCTCTGAAACTGTGAATGTTTTAAGGTGACCCGTTCATAAGCTGGAAAAGCCATATCACACGT